CTGGATGAGTCCAAAATATATCTCTAATAACTTTAGAGTCATATCTTTTTATACTCCAATAAACATAACCTGCATCCTCAATAAGCTTAAACAAATATTGTATCTCACTTCTAGGACCTCTTATCTCTTTTTCTATCATGCTCTTCTGCTTATATATTTACGTGATTCGAGTGACATTCTCTGGATCTTGCTCTTGCAAGGAAATGAATATATGTCTAGGTGAAACCTTTCTCTTTTTCAAATCAACAACATGTTGCTTCTGATCGGCTGTCAACCTACCAACAAATGAGTGACCTTCTAATTTATCAGGTAAACCATGGTTATGAACTCCACATTTTACATCAACCTTCCATCAAGATCCATCATTCGCTGGAATTAACCTGATTCTAAATAGACATTCACATTTTTTCGTCGCACTCTAGGTTCCACTATCAATATCTTTGTGTTTCCCACCTTTATCACAACCAAATATTAATTTGTTACTTCTTCCTCTCTTGTCTGTTTCAATATCTGAACGAGTGATGATAACCGTTACTTTATTTCGGATTTCGATCTCTTTAATCCATCTTATCACCTTTACTCGTGTACCAAATCTTTGAGTAGTTGAAAACATCAGATATATCTACACATATCTGGTCTTTATCGCATATTTGCGGAGGAATTCCCAAACCTGTAGAATAAAAAACAATTAAAAAAATTACATTTACGAAAAAAACCGGAAGTCTCGGGAAAAGAATTCCGGTACACAAAGTTGCCAAACCGGAACTCTTAGGAAAAGTGTTTCGGTACACATTATGACTGTAGCGATAAAAATCGTGAGCGTAAGTTATTGACTAACTTAACTCAAAGAAAACAAGAGTCGCCACCGCACTTTTATTTTATCCAAATAAAGGAAAGGAAAAAGAGCGAACAAAACCAAAGAGTTCTAAAATAAGAACACGAGACAGAGATCGGGGTAAGGGGGTTGGTTACGCAATGGGAAGGTGTTAGCACCCAAAACGTCTATAGTACTCTATAGGAGCCCTTTGAAATATTTATGCTTTTTGGTTTGAAAATGGTTTGTTTGAAAAGAGATTGGGGAGATGAGAAGAGAATTATTTTTTTATATTTTTGTGTTTGGAGAGACTTATCGTCTCATGCCTACGTACCCATAAAGTGCAATATGGAATCAAAACCCCGTAGTTCGTGGTACAAATGACAAAATTTTGTTGGTTTTGATTGATTTTAGATGTACAGACAAGTCATCATTTCAAGGAGAAAACTGCGACTATCCACCCACGAGTATTAAGACAACATTTGCATCACATAAAGATGGAGGATTTGCTTGGATTATCAACAAGACTATCACTCAACATCAACGTGGAAAATGTCAAAGTCTTAATAATATGGGGAATAGGAGATTTACATCTCAACTATAGAAATGAATCATGTCTAAACTTTATGAAAAGTTTTAAAGTGAAAAAGTGCATAAAGGCACAAAAAGAGTTGATGAGTTTTTGTATTTTTTATGTCTTTTGAAATTGGTCAAAACATGATTAACATTGATTGACTTTTATTAAGAAAAAAACAAAGTTTAAAAATCACTTGACGAAAGTCAAGGTTTTATTGCGAAATCGGTTTTGAAGTTTGAAACCAAGAAGGTTTTGAAAGAGGGAGAAAGTTTTGAAAATTTAAGAAGGGGAGGAGATGAAGTGACTATCCTAAAAAACAAAATAAGAGCTAGAGGTAAGAAAGATCTAACCGACTTGTAGCACACTCCATAGCAAGCAAAAAAGAATTCCATCCGATTTAAAGCATAAGCTCATGAGCGAGCCAAATAAAGGCTAAGATCCACAATACTCCAAGCATAGGAATGAGAGCCCTAATTCTAAGTCCAAAGGTCCATAAAGTCCAAGGTCTAAGAGTAGTCCAAGAGCATAACCACAAAGTTAATAGCACCCAAATTTTTTAGATGTTTCATCCTTTATTAGTGTTTTGAACAAAGTATGGTCCAAGTGGACAAAAGAGAATAAACATAAACAAAGATATGATATGAAATGATAAAATAGAAGCATAAAAGTAAGAAATAAGGAGTAAGAAGAGAATATAAGCAAAATTAAACAAGGATATTGTTAGTGAATTAGTGGTTAGTGGTTAGAACATATGATCAATGATGATTAATTCTTGCACTTAGACCAAGATTAATGAAAATTCATTAGAGGATTGATAGAATCAAAGCCTCCTAACAATGATTTTCATAGGTATTGGAGTTAAGACAAGCAACTAAACATACTTGGACTTTTAAACGTAAGTTTGAGCCACGAATGATCATTTTCCGATTAAGGGACACTTTAGCGCTATGTTAAGCAATCGTAATCGGGTTTATGTAGAAACCACGACTATCTGAGGCCGGTCAATAAAATGTTAGTGTTAATACATGTTAGAGAAGTGATATGTAAATCACTCTCCTAAAACATGCCACACAAAAAGAAAAGAGGTAGTGATCTCATCATAATCAAGATTTTTAATTAATTAATCAAAGGTAATCTATCATTATTCCAAAGTAAGGAGAATTATCTCAATGATTATTCGTCCATAGATTTGAAATAATGAAGATTAAACAACCTTGATAATCAACAATCTATGATCCATAGATTTCATCGATCAAAAAAAAAAAAAAGGAAGAAAGAAAATAAGAATGAAAAGAAATCACAATTTGAATCTTAAATCGATTAAATTATCATCAATATCAATCACCTCTCTTGGTGGATAAAAATCAACACCCAAAGTCCATTGATATTGATGAAATCCTATCAAAATTCAAGATCCAAAACCACCAATAATTAATCAAAATATTTTCAAATAATTTTTTAAGAGTTTTCAAAAATGAAATTAAAATACAAATTTAATAATAAAAGAAAAATGTGGAAAAGTCCACACGGTTAAATTCTGAAAGAAATAAAAAGGAAAATAAAAAAAATAAAAGAAAAATACAATTGAAAAGTAGAAAGAGAAAACGAAACAGAGTCATCTTCTTCTTCTAGCTCTCACACGCGAAAACATTCACGGCCATGGATGCTTGCTTAAATCACAACGGCGGGACGCGAAAAATACGCGGTTGCAATCGAAATCAAGAGCTCTTCACAATGGTACCAACAATTCAAAGAATCACAACAAAAGATAACGGATCGAAAATGACGGTGAAGCTCAATCTACCTTCAAACTCAGGTAAGAAATCAATCCAAACTTCTTCTTGCTTCTCTTCTTCTTCTGAACGAATTCTGGTTCGAAATTGATCTGTGTTTGAGGTTGATTTGAAGTTAATTTGGTGGAAGAAAGTATGAGAAGAGAATGTGAGCAAAAGGTTTTGTATTGAGGAATTGAGGAAGAAAATCAGCAGAGATTTTTTGGCTTGAAAAGCTTGAAGAAAAGAGTGAATAAGGTGTTGTATTTATAGATGAGAATGGGTGAAAATGATTTGCCGTTTGTGAGATTTTTTTTTCTGCGTTTTGGGATGCAAGTTATGTGTGACCTGTTGTGATATTTTTTCATGTCGTTTTGGACTTTTTCTTCTTTTAGCTCACTTAAGTGACGTGGAAAGCTTGTGGGGTCAGCTACATGGCTGAGATTATATTCACATGGCTTGCAATATGGCTTGGATAAGTGATGAATTGTTTCCTCAGCTCAACCTCAATTTCAAGCCGTTTTCGCTCTATTGCTCCATAGATATTGAAGATGACAATATCACTAATGAATTTGCTTGCGAGTTTGAAGAACAGTATCTTCATGAACATGTTTGTTGAAGCAGTCCTGACAGGAACAGGGTTCTATGCAGTAGACACCAGCAGTAAAACACTCACAGTAAAGCTTCAGGCACTTTGATTTCTTGCAATTACAGCGTTTGCAGCACTCAGTATCACCAACTGGCTCGGACTTACGCTTTTTCTTTTTGGAGCTATTCGGATTGAAATCTTCGTCAGCCATGTAAGCTGGTACCAGGGAAGAATCTTCAGCAGGCTGAACCTCATATACTGATACAGATACAATCGATAGATGCTGATGTTCTTGGCATGCAGAGAGTAGCAAGGAAGTAGATTAAGTGCATTCAAGTGTAAACCGATACCTGGTAAAGTGCACTTTTGTGAATTTGCATTACGTTTTGCAGGGAGCAGTTGCTTTTTGTCTGAAGAATTCTTTACTTCAGACTGTGTTGTAATGGAGCCAGTGTTTGAATTATCATCAGAGTTCTTTCGTACACCGACCATCTCGAAGACAACGCCTCTGGATACCACGGTGCGTGACAGAAACAAGCTGATTGTCTATTTTCTCATTTGGATTGCTAGTCATGAAAGAACCATTAGCAAGATTGTCCTGTGTGTGGTCAGTGTCTGTTGAGACAACAAGCTCAGAACAATGATTTTCAATTTCATGTTCAGAATCAGAAGCAACTGAATCAACCATGTGTATTTTCTGATCATTATTACTGGCAGATTGCTGAAGAGGGACAAAATCACAAAGTCTTATAGAAGATCCCAATGGTTTTTGCATTAGACCCTTAAAAGCTTCTGCTTCAATTACATATCCGCACCGTTGTGAATTAAACCATCCCAATCACAGTCTGAGCCTTCACCCTTTGGATCAATCTGATTTGTTCCTTGAAGATGTAATTCAGGCTCATCCGAATCATTTTTACAACCTTCTTTATTGCACTAATTGAAACCAATTCAGACGCCTGTACTTGCTTTCCTGTAATCGCAGATTGTGTTACAAAGCATGCTAACCATGCACGAATTCCTCGAATCCGTTCTAACCGAAAAATCAAACTAGTTTTCTCCCATTAGACGCTTGATTCTCTTTCGCTTCTTTTATTCTCTTTCTATTTTGGTCTATGCATGCGCCGAATGCATCAGAGTAGTAGCATGCAAGGGAGGCATCACCTGTTGTTTTGACTTCTGAACTGTCTTCAAGCTCTTGCCACCGCCCAGTACTGACTATGAAGGTTTCTAGACATTTTATCTGATCTAAAACTCTGGTATACCACTCGACCGTGACGAATATTCAGACACCAACTTTAGAAACATGGATGACTTATCCTCCAATAGTCGTAAAGGAGTGTCAAATTCAGCAACTCGACCATCATTGAGCACTAGAACTTGATCGCTGTCGATGACAGTAGGGATACGATGTGCAATGGTGAGGACGGTGCAGGCTTTGAACTCTGTTCGAATAATCTTCTGGATAAGATTGTCAGTGGCAGTGTCGACGGATGCTGTTGCTTCATCAAGTACAAGTATTTTTGACTGCTTCAATAGAGCTCGGCCAAGAGAAACAAGTTGTCGTTGTCCTACACTCCAATTGTCTCCATTTTCTATAACTGGTGAATCAAGCTTTTGTCCCTTCTCACAGATGATCTCTCCAAGTTGAGACTTATCTAGTGCCTCCCAAATGTCTTTATCTGAGTGCTCCTCAAGAGGATCAAGATTGCCTCGAATGGTCCCTTCAAACAAGGTCGGATCCTGCGGTATGATACTGAGATGACTTCGGAGGTCATGAAGATCGATCTGTAAAATATTGATGTTGTCTATGCGGATACTTCCGTCTGCTGGTTCAATCAGTCGAAACAATGCTTGAATCAACGTAGATTTACCACTGCCGGTGCGTCCAACTATTCCTATATTCTTCCCACCAGGAAATGTGCATGATACTCCATGAAGCACCAAAGGAAGATTTTCTTTGTAACGGACCTTCAAGTCAACTATTTCAATTGTCCCATTTTCAGGCCATAAGGATGGAGGGCGAGAATCTTCAATAACTGCTGGTGCTTCACTAGGAATTTGGCTGTACTGATAAATTCTTTCAATAGATATAATTTTGTTTTCAAGTTTGCAAAAGCTAAGTATCCAACGGGATAACCGCGCATTCAAATTAAGACCATATGTCACGGCAAGTCCAGCCATGCTAGGGTCAATACTTCCATGGGGAAAGCTAACAAGCAATAGCATGCAGAAAGAAAATACACAGGTGGACAGGAGCTCCATACGCAGGCAGAGCCACTCAATAGCAGCAAGACTATAGAAGAAAGGTCGTGCAAAACAATCAAGAAGATAGAGGTTCCGCTTCATGAACCTTTTTTCTTGTCCGAAACCCCTGATTGTGGATGCTCCAGCAATTGATTCACCAAAAAGATTTATAATTGGTGATTTCTGGATGCTTACAATACGGACCAGTTCCCTAGAGGAAGCCATGTAGTATTTCTGCATCCATAAACAAGCAATGGCCATTGGGATGACTAAGAGCAAAACTTGCCATGTAACTTCTGTCATTACACCGACAATACCGATAAGCTGTATTGTTGTAGCAGCAAAACCACCAAGTCTAAAAGGGATGTCAAGATCCACAACACTCTGATCAACAGAAACCCGATTCAAGATCCTTCCAGCGGGTGTAGAATCAAAGAAATACATCGGTGCATGGAAAACACATCTAAGCATCTTCAAAAATAGCTTCTGTGCAGCTCCGAGACCAAACGTAGCGACTAGAACAGCCCTAACAAATATAAACAATGAACTGCCAAAAGCAAGAGCCATGTAAACGAGAAGAAGATTCATGGGAGTTACTTTGGGCTTGTCTCCTTCTGTTTGAGGATTAGCCCATGCCATCAACCAATTACTAGCAATCTGAAGGAACTGAAATAATGCTTGTGCAATGATTATGAGTGGAATCAATGAACCTTTATATGCCGCTGCCATGTATGAAAGATACACCTTCATGCTAACTCTACCTCTAACCCTCTCCTCTTCCTGTACAAGCTGTTTTTTCCTTGATCTTTTAGCTTTCTTCTTCTCCTTATTTGTTTTTTGATCGGAAGACGATGGTCCTTCTTGCATTTCCTTTGTCAAACTGTCAACATCATTCTCAGAACAAATGGATTTCTTACTTGTCATAACAGATTCCTCCAATGATAAATGCTCCTCTGAATCTTCAGATGAATGATTAGGGATATCCATAGCCTCTATCGCTTCATGGTGAGCTAAAACTAGAGCTTTAAAATTTGTTCCTGCTTTTAAGAGATCGTCATACTTTCCGGCTTGTATGATGCTACCTTCCTTGAGAACCAGTATGAGATCAGCAGCAGGAAGAAATTCAACTTGATGGGTCACAAAAATGACTGTTTTATTTTCCAGTGCTGACAATATATATTCCCTAAACAGCTCCGATCCAGTGTGTGCGTCAACTGCACTGAAGGGATCGTCGAGGAGATAAACATCAGCATCTTGGTATAGCGCTCGGGCAAGTTGCACCCGTTGCTTCTGACCCCCACTCAGGTTTATACCTCTATCACCAATAATTGTCTGATCTCCATGCGAGAAAAGTTCTAGATCCTTTCTCAGTGAACAAGCATGAAGAACATTCTTGTACTTTGCTTTGTCTTTTAGACTTCCAAAGAGTATATTTTCTTCGATAGTTCCTGATTGTATCCATGCTGATTGGGAGACATATGCAGCAGAACCACACACACTGACTTCACCAGATATTTTAGGAATCTCTCCAAGGATGCAAGAAAGAAAACTTGATTTCCCTGAACCAACTGTGCCACAAACAACCACACGCATCCCTTTTTCAACTTTCATATTTATCTCTGAAAGAGTAGGCCTGGAAGATGAAGAAGGGTCCCAAGAGAATTCACTATCCTTAATTTCTATGGCAATGTTAGAAACACCCTGTGGCAAGACAATAGTTGCATCTTCCTGCAATTCTTCCTCAAGCAGAAAACAAGTAAGTCGATCAATAGAAACTTTTGTCTGAGCCATTGTAGATACCAAGTCTGGAAAATTCCTCAAAGGTTCTTGGAGGATCCTAAAAGTGGCTAGAGCCGAAAGTACACCGCCTGCTGTCAGCTGTGGGATATATTCTGTTCCAGAAACTGATGACTGTCCATGATCACCTGTCAGGTCAATACCATGAAATTGCATGGAGTTCCATCATTGCAAAACAAGCAGCAGTATTAAATGATACCAATCTATTGAGCAGGTTAAGAGTGAAATAAACTTCCTCCTTGTTATTCAGATACATATCTTGGGCCACGTGTAAGAGTAACACATATACTCCAGATGGGGAATATTCCCATCATACAAAGGCAGTTTTCTCTCCAACAACTTTCAAGACATGCCCCCGAGTTCCAGATGGAACAAACAGGCCTTCAATTCCAGGAACCTTCAAGCCAATTAATACCATGCCACTGCATCATATGTCGCATAATAGAACAAAGAGATTGGCTCGCTAATCACTTTTGAATTTATCTGAATTAACTTCTGGGAAAATAAATCCATAGACGAACACAACCTGGACTGATGAACCTTGATCATATTAGTCATTGGACCAAACTTCTCATAGAACACTGCTTGATAAACCACTGAATTTCAATACAGGACAATTTGACCTTGAACAATCTCATTTCCTGAGAAAATATCCTACCACCACGGGTAACTTATAGTTGAAGCAAACTCTTGATAGTTTGACTAAGATGAGGTTAAACGTCCATCTGATTAAAACTTGAATGAATGTATTTGCCATCAATCTCCTTGCAAAACCCTAAACACACAGAGAAGAAGAAGAAACAAAAATATTTTTGGTATTTTGATTAGATGTTAGTAAACAGAAACAAACATAAAGCAAGTATGAAACAACAAGGGACCTAAGAAAAATAAAAAAGTATGGTCTTGTTTGTGTATGCAAAAATGAAAATGCAATGTGGGATCTTAGGGGTAAAAATTAGGGTATTACAGCTGCCCCTATTTAAGATTCTTCTATCCGGAGATATGAAGATTGACATCTTTGTCTCGACTAGATAGAAGAGACTTAAATATAACAATTAACCCAATTTTTAGCCCTAAGAGACCACAAAATGATATGATTATGCTAATGATATGCGAACATAAGACTTCTGTGGGGAAATAATGCCACAGGAGACAAACAAAAGCTCGGGAGAAAAAGAGAGACTCCACATGAGAAAACAAAATAGTAAGATCCTATTCCGATAAGGGAAAGGAAACGACTCAATGGGGAAAGAGATACCAACTGCCAGTTACTGGGCGAAGATATTCGAACCGAAGATAATAGGTAAAATACTTTCTACCAGTTACTGAGTAGAAAATAAGTGCAAAAACACAAGAGAATTGTTATCTACCAGTTACTGGGTAGAAAACAAAGAAATGTATTACTTATTACCAGTTACTGGGTAAAAAGTAATCCACTCGTTGAAATATAATCAACTACCTGTTACTGGGTAGGAAAAGAAGCAACACCAACTACTGGTTACTGAGTAGTTTAGCGAGAATAATAAACTTGAATGAAAGGGGTTACCAACTATCGGTTACTGGATAGTGTAAACAACATGTCGACTACCTGTTACTGGGTAGGACGGACTCGACTACCTGTTACTGGGTAGGAGAAAAAGATAAAAGGTCAACTACCTGACACTGGGTAGGACAAACATACTCGACTACCTGTCACTGGGTAGGAGAAAGAGATATATCATCAGCTACTTGTTACTGAGCAGCTCCAAACACAACAAACTTCTCAAATAAAGAGACAACCATTTGTTGGAAAAAGATATTAACAACTCTGTCGGGGATCTTTAAAAGAGATACAAGCAGGTTGAACCATGCAATAGAATTCTCATTGGGAGTTATTCCACAGAAATTCCAATTGTCAGAAAAGCTGGTCAGATAAGGATCTATCACTTCACAATAAACTTCTCTGTTGAGGATGAGCCAGAGAAATGGTATTTATTGAGAAGGTAAAATTCTTGAGATTACACAAGCTGCTCAAATAAAGAGGCTTCCACATGAAGTTGCATAAGTAATTACCAAGAGAGTGTTATCAAAACACTACTGGGAAAATCAAATCTTCATCTTCTGACGAGGATCAATAACAGATTCCTGCTGAGGAAAATAAATCCTCAAAACTACCTTCTTGTCATCCCGGTTTCACAGCCCAGGGAAAACCAAAGTAACTGCTGCAAGAGACCAAAGTTCAATCCAGGAACAAACTGGAAAGAAACGGTCAAACAAGACTCGACCCAATGAGGAAATAACTCAACTGGGGAACAATTCCATCCAGATAAAAGCTGGGGAGGAAAGCTAAATAAAACATCTTCCACGAGGCATAAACTCAGTGGGGAATTAAAAATGATAGGTATTTTCTGCTTAGAGGTCGACACTCTAATGAAGAGAGGACACACGCATTCTGCGAGATAACAACATCGGGAAAAGGGAAATACCAACAAAAAAAATGCAGGATGCACAATGCAACCAAGACATGCTATGCTCAACCAAAATGAATGCGCATGCAATGAGTATGAATATGCTGATAAATCAGACAAAAAAGGCAAACAGAGGGTGAACAAAACACCACAACACCACTTGAAATACTCGGCTAATCTCTGCGAGTTAGAGATATCATTGGAGATCGTGCTGGGGATCAGCAACAAAAAATCTGCAAGAGATACATAAGAGCCATCCAAGGAAAATAAATCCTACTACAAGGCTTAAATCTCGCTGAATAAATGGAGATATTGTTTGGGGAAAAGACCCCAAAGATCAATCTTCAACCATTAATAATTCAACAAGAGGAAACAACAATATGAACTCCGCTTTGAGAAAAAAAACTGTTGGAGAAAAACATAGCAACACAAATCTTCCAACCCTGCCAGGGGAATAAGAAGTTAACATCATAGCAAAAAGTCAAACTGTGGGGGATTTTAAATCAACACACAATTACAAGGTGAGAGAAAACCCGACAGGTGACTGCTATGTCAACACTTCTCAACCTTGTTCTCTACTTGAAGAATAATCCAAAGCAAATGTGCATAACCTCCGCTAGGAATCATCAAAGACAAATCTCCGCCTGGGCAAAAACAATCAAGGAGAAGTGATCTTCAAATTTCTCAACTGTCCGATCATAATGTGGTTGAATGAATAAAACATATCCATCATTTGAATCAAGACTTTGCTGTGGAAAACCGTTCAACACTCATCTGGTTTATCCAAAGAAACAAAACTCTGCTAAGGGAATATCAGCAAACTCTACTGAAGAGACCTCAATATAGCTCAAATGGGGAAACATCAACACAACTCTACTGGGGAGCTGCCAATAAATTCTACCAGAGAGGCAAGAAAGAACCCTGCTGAAGAGAACACTTACGCTTTTCGCTTCAAGATTCTACCATTCTTGGGATTACTGTTGACATTCTTTCTTTTATTTTCACAAATCAAAGAAAAATGTTTTTATAATTTTCAAAATTTAAATCAATTATTCACATTTGTTTCAAAAATCATCATCAAAAATAAAATGAAATTCTGTAAACAAAAACAAAATAAGAATTGCAAACAAAGGGACAAAGGCCCAAATTCTATTGATAGAATGATAGTCCGCAAATGGCGTAACTCCATGGATCATTACAAAGTTTGAAAAATGGTAAGTACAATGGAAAGTTCTACATTGAAATACAATGACCATTATTCTCCCTAACAACTTTGAATTCCAACTGTGCTTGAGACTTCAGCGGAGAATATCTGAAGTAAAACCTTTGATAGGAAATGTTGCTTCAAACGATCAAGACTGGCCAGATGCAGTTACTTGCCATGATCCCTAACTTTTGCCTAGATTTCCCTCTCGGGTTTTCAATCTACCGGGATGATTATTTCTGTTTTTGTCTCTAATTTTTGCCTGGACCGCCCTTTCGGGTTTTCAATCCATCGAGACGCTCATTTTTGCCTAAGCTGCCCTTTCAGGTTTTCAACTTAGCGAGTTGTTCTTTTATTTTTTAGGCGAAGTATTTCTTGACTGCATCGGCATTCACAGGACGAGTGAACTCTTCTCCATCCATAGTTGTAAGAATTAATGCACCGCCAGAGAAGGCTCTCTTAACAACATATGGGCCTTCATAATTAGGAGTCCACTTGCCCCTAGAATCAGTAGTAAAAGTCGAGATTTTTTTGAGCACGAGGTCACCTTCTCTGAACACACGGGGTCGAACCTTCTTATCAAATGCTTTCTTCATTCTTTGTTGATATAATTGGCCATGACACAAAGCCGTCATTCTTTTCTCTTCAATCAGATTCAACTGGTCGTATCTACTTTGACACCATTCAGCCTCAGCCAATTCAGTTTCCATCAAAACTCTCATGGAAGGGATTTCAACCTCTATCGGGAGCACTGCTTCCATGCCATAAACAAGAGAAAAAAGGGTTGCCCCTGTTGAAGTGCGAACGGATGTACGATACCCATGCAGAGCGAAAGGAAGCATATCATGCCAATCCTTGTATGTAACAACCATCTTTTGAATAATCTTCTTAATGTTCTTATTAGCAGCTTCAACAGCCCCATTCATCTTGGGTCTATAAGGAGAAGAATTATGATGCTCAATCTTAAACTCATCGCATAATTCCTTCATCATCTTGTTATTTAAATTCGACCCATTATCAGTGATGATCTTTCTCGGAACACCATACCGACAGATGATTTGATTCTTGATAAACCTGACCACTACTTGCTTAGTCACATTTGCATATGATGCCGCTTCAACCCATTTGGTAAAATAGTCAATAGCCACCAATATGAAACGGTGTCTGTTCGATGCTTTAGGCTCAATCATTCCAATCATATCAATGCCCCACATTGAAAAAGGCCATGGAGAAGAGATAACATTGAGAGGAGTTGGAGGCACATGAATCTTGTCAGCATAAATCTGGCATTTATGGCACTTTTTCACATATTTACAACAGTCAGATTCCATTGTCAACCAATAGTAACCTGCCCTTAACATCTTCTTAGCCATCGCGTGTCCATTGGCATGGGTGCCAAAGGATCCTTCATGGATTTCTTTCATCAACATATCTGCTTCGTGTCTATCCACGCATCTGAGCAAGATCATGTCATAATTTCTCTTATACATCACATCATCATTCAA